ATGCCTCAGGGTGGGAAGAATAGTGGGAGGTTCTTCCAATACATTATGATGAAGATATTAGAAAAATTTGTCGGAAATAGCTGCTTTGTGTTTCAAGATGATATTGTATTATTTTCACAAAGTTTGGAGGATCATCTTGAACTGGTCGATCGAGTAATTAGTACATTAAGGGATGAGGCCTAAAATTAAATCCAAGTAAATGCCAAATATTAGCAAAAGAAGTGAGATATTTAGGACATATTATTAATGGAGAGGGTGTGCAACCTTACCCAAACAATGTTGAGTCAATCAAAAAAGTGGAAGCACCTCGTAATGTGAAAGAGGTTCGCAGTTTTCTCGGTATGGTTGGATTTTTTCGGAATTTTATTCTGTTGTTTTCTGATATCGCTGCCCCACTGACGGAACTCATGAAGAAAGGGAAGAGATTTTCATGGAGTCCAGAGTGTCAGAGAGGTTTTGAAAAGTTAAAGGAGGCAATAGCTAACCCAGCAATTCTAGCTCACCTGGATTTTGACAGACCATTCTATTTGCACATTGACGCATCTGACAACACGGCAGCTGCGGTGCTTGAACAACAGCATGAAAAGGGACTGGCTCCGATAAGCTATTTTAGTAGAAGATTCAAAGGGGCAGAAATCAATTATTCCACAATTGAGAAAGAGTATTTAACAATTATTTTAGCCTTAAGGCACTTCAAATTTTTGATTCTGGGCCAAAAAACAATAATACTCTCTGACCATAAACCCCTTGTGTTCCTTAGCACCACTCAAAATGGGAGCAAGCGTCTGACTCGTTGGATAATGGAGATGAAGGATTACCATATAGAAGTCCAATATGTAAGAGGTGTAGACAATAAAGTAGTGGATTTCCTTTCTAGGAATGTAAATGGGGTTCATCACTTTGATGTAGAATCTACAAGGGCTATAATCCCTAACAGATATGATATTGGCTTATCACAGGATCGAGATAAAATGTTTGGCCCCATAAAAAGGGATTTACTGAGAAACCCGGGAATAGAAATATTGGGAGCCATATGCACCAGTATGTAGTAATAAGTGAATGCCTGTATAGGAAAAGTTTCTTGAAGTCCCATGGCGTACATTAGCCAATTATGCATAGGGAAGGATCTTAAGGCTGTTCACGAAAATGATCTGTCAGGACATTGGGGTGTGCGGAAAACTGTAATAAACATTGAGAAACACTATTATATTCGGAATTTGAGAGAAAAGATTGAGGAAGTCGTTAAGATGTGTGAAAGGTGCCAGAGGCATAATATACACAAAGGAAAAGATCCGTTTCAAGAAAACGAAATGGCCGAGGCACCTTTCCAAAAAAATTGCAGTTGATGTAGTAGAGCCTATCAGTGCATCGAGCAGCAGTAACCGGTTCATCCTTGTAATAGTGGACATTTTCACTAATTTCGTCGAAGCACACCCTTTGAAGGACCAAACTGCATGGTCCGTGAGTAATACAATATTTAATGAAATCGTTTGTAGGTACGATGCCCCAGAAGTAATTATTTCCATTAGAGGTACCAACTTTCTATCATTGTTATTCTCTGACTGCTGTAAATAGTTAGGGATTAGGAGGAACATTACTACTGCATATAGGCCCTGTGCGAATGGCACATGCGAGTGAACAAATCGTTAGTCGAAATGATAACTAAATCCTCTAACGATGGGAGAGTCGAATGGGAAATGATACCTTCTGCATGTTTTGCCTATAACAATTCCTACCACACTGCTATAAATGAGTCACCTGCGTTCCTCTTGTATGACGTTGATCCCTGCACCCCTAATATCGAACACCTGCCTGATGATATGTTGACCGATGAACAAAGGGCATTCCTCATCACAAAACTCCATGCATTATGGGAAAATGCAAGTAACCATGCGTGAAATTACAACAAGAAAGGAAGGGATTATCGAAGCAAGGGGTGAAAATTAATAAGTTTTTCGGAGGGGCAGAGGGTTTGGGTGAGAAAGAAGGGCGTTAAAAGGAATAAATTCTCTTATAATTATAAAGGACCCTTTCAGATCACCAAGGCAATAAACCCAACTACGTATCGTGTGGAGGGTTACAATATGAAGGATCAGGAGACTGTCCATGTCGATTGCCTAAAGCCTTGCTATGGCTATCCAATTGGTAATAAAAGAAAAAGGAGAGAGGTTAAGGAAATTGTACCAGAGGATGAGGATGAAGTCCAGGATGATCGGCTGGTGAGGAGACGTGGGGTTGTCACTAACACACAGTGTTGGCAAAACTGGTGTGCAGAAGTGCACTGACTTTGACATGCATAAGAAACCTTATAACCTACGTGAACATAAGATTGATTTTCGTAGTATGCACTATGAAAAGTAAGTCGCTTGCAGGGGGAGATACGTAGCGCTACGCGACTATGTATTATTATTATATATATTTTTTGTCTCGGTTCCTTTTTGTATGTATCGAGTTTTCTTAATTTGTACGATGTCACATGTATTTTTGTTATGATGTCACCTCTTAGGTACCATGGGAAAAGCCTTCCGATTGGTCCAAGATGAGACATGTGAGTAAAGTGGACTTCCGGAGAGTGGGAAGTATAAAAATGTGTGAACTCCCACGATGGTGGTATTCTGGTTTTTGTATCTGTCAAGGATAGTACAAAGGTTTGAGGCCAGGCCGGGAGAACAGGAGTGAGAAAGGAAGACCATATATATATATAAATAATTATTGTCTCCATGGATTTCGATCTACAAGAAATTCAACAAGATAATAAAAAAAAAATTTAATGAGAGGAAAACTTTAACCAATACGCTTAAAATCAAACTGTTCAAGAAATTATTGCAATATGGTAAATACAGAGTATGAAAATCACAAAAATCTAAGTTGTGAAGTTAATTAAAATACATTATTTTTCTTCTTTTCATTAAATATACAATACTATAAAGTTATTATATTATAAAAGTTATATATTTTGAACTACTTTAATGGAGTAACATTTATAAACTTACAAAATCTAGTAAGTACCTCTGAATTAAAACTCATCTTCAGACTAAGTCCTACACACGCAAGTCAAGCAAGTGCCCGACTTTATCAGACCATCTTTTATCTATTCTGAATTTAATCTGTACTAATTGCCTTACAAATAAAATATTCATTATTTTAAACATCTCATTTTTTCCTATCTGCATCACAAATTCAATCACTTAATCAGCCAGAAAACTGATAGAAAATCACAAGTATCTTTTGTACAGTACATATATAAATGACCTAATTCATGTACATAATCTTATAAATGATAAATGTTTACAAAGTCAATAATAATTATTTAATTATTTGTTAATTTTCAAATAATTCATTAATATATTTGTAGATTGTAATTCTGGCTAAATACAAACACCAATTACAGGTTTTAAGCTGTCGCTTGCCAACCTGTTAAAACCAATTTGAATTCGCATTTGGCTAATCACCAAATGGAAATTCAAATCAGGAAATGGACCAAAAATATAAACCGATAATATAAATTTGCCAAATAATCACACAAATCAGGATTTTGTTAACTAACCTGCCAATTTACAATCATTTATCCTTATCTACATATATCTTTACATAAGAAATAAAAAAAAAGAAAATACATAACTAATACATAATATCTGTGGAAATTTTGCTGGATTTTCTTTGAACTAGTTTGCTGTAACTTTTGTAGTGTTATAACTCTATGTCACATTTGAATATACTAGAAATGTAAACTTACTATAAAGTTAAAACAATATATAAGAAGTAAAATTTATACTGTACATCATCATCTGTTAAATTTTCTACATTAACCCATTTACATAAATTTTTTCAGTTTACATAATTGATAATGAAATTCTCGATCCTAGTAGTTAAAATAACAACTCTTCGAATTCATAATTAGCCCTCTAATTTATAAATATTTAAATATTTTAAAAGTTTGACACAAAATGGCAAGAGAGTTTCTTCAGTTTATCAGAATTTATCTAAAATTTAACAATTACAATACTATCAGAAATACACCAAACATGAGATCGATTATAGAAATCATCAGCATTTGCACTTTGATCCATTACCATCAATCTTCTGTAGTTTTATTTCTATTAGTATTTAATGATGTTAAGACAAACTAAACCGAAACAATCTTATGTAAACTATTAATTGTAGTAGTGAAATCTACAGCAAGTAAAACAGGTCATAAATTGATGTATAAATGCCTGTAGAAACAACATTTATACATCAATTTATGCATAAATCAAAATAACACTACGGGTGTGACTATGCAGGCACGAATTTAGTAGCAAGCGATGTAGTTCTTGCAAAGGAAAACCACGCACAAGCAAGAAGGGAGAAATATCGTTGGCGAGAGCGAATTTCTGGTTCTCGCACATATCCGACAGGGTTTGATATTTAGCACATCTCACCTCTTCTCGCTCGCTCGGAAAATTCCTCACTCGCATCTAAATAGTTGCACCCTACTTAAACTCTATTAATTAGAAAGTAGTGTAATCTATGGCGAGTAAAACGGGTCATAAATTGATGTATAAATGTCTTTTTTTACAGGCATTTATACATCAATTTATGCATAAACTGAAACAACAGTACATAAACTCTATTAATTGGAGAGTAGTGTGATCTACGGGTGAATAAAACAGATCATAAATCGACGTATAAATGCCTATTAAATACAGTTATTATAGGCATTTACACACCAATTTATGCGTGTGTATTACATATTTGTTGACTTGTGAATTTATTTTCATTCTGTATTTATTTCAAGCATTAAAGAGTGACATGTACAATGTAAGTATATAATATTGGTTTTTGAATTAGGTATTTTTTTTATAACAAATTTTTATGCCTCATAAACAAACGTGATGAGTTCTGCCTCGATTTTTCTTTCAAACAAGCAAGTTTCAAATGTCAATGTTAGGCTTAACTACACCTCTTATATATTCAATGAAATCTTTCAAATAACAATTTATAAGCTTCACCGATCTTACCTGACGAATAAAAAGATGTCGAAGATTTCAAATCACTCGTATTTTTATTATAATTATTTCTCTATTCGCATTTTTCCGTGCACTACAAGAAGAATTCAAGCAAAACCGAAGAGTCAAACTCCATATCACAAATTAGCAGAAGCCAAACTTTGTGTTCGGAAAACCGGTTAAAATAATCATCGTTTTTTTAAATAAAGCATTAAATAATTAAATTTAACTAATATTAATTCTCCTTTTTTAAATTAATTAATTAATATTTATATTTGATCGGAAATAACCATCGAAAAAAAATTTTGCCACAGTTAATAATACAATAACCGGAAAATCGGTAAAGTCGGTATTAAAAATATTAAGACGTTTTTTAGATTAAAGAATTTTATTTAGATATAATTATTAATATTTTATTAATTTAGATAAATTTATTAATTTGATATAAATTCGAATAAATAAACGATAAATTATATAATTTTTAAATGTTTCGTTTCGTAGCGCCATTTCCAAGCTCTGCGAAGAAAAGTGTAGTTCACGAATTTTCGGTGGAAGAATGATGTGTTTCGTTTAAGTTGAAAATTCGTTTTGTAAAAAATGGTAAGTTCGTATCCTGTTTATTTTCTTGCATTTTTCAGTTTCCTATATATAATAATCAGCTTTGGTTATATAAAATATAAAAAAATTAATTGTGATGTTAAGCCTACCCACGTGGCTTAGTTTTGTTGTGTAGTTGTAACACTACCTCATCGATTGTGTCTGTTTGAATTTTATAATTCGGTCTCTCTCGTATTGATTAAATTAAGTCTTAAAAGTAAGTCTCAGATTATTCAAAATTGATTTAATAGTTAAATCAATTAAATAAATGAATGATAATCTTAAAATATAAAATACTTGAGTAATAATTTGATTGTAACTTGTGAATTTTTAGTAATTAAATTACAACTTTGTTTATTTTAATCTAAACTACAGAGAATTTAAATCAATATCTTTTATAGTGGACATTTTATGAGCTGAGTCTTACATCTATGTAAGTGTCTTGATTAGCATTTTGTAACCTCATTATTATTTTTGTGAACAGACACAATTTTTTTGACTTGGGTGTTTTGTGTCATATGCCAGGATGTACTATTTTGCATACCATTCAAACAACCCACTTTGTCTAAAGAACGTGAAGTCGGCTACTTAAAATATGTTCGTGCTTGTATTATTTTGAATTATGCTTTGGTGCTGTATCGTCTTTTGATACGTACATATCTTCACGTTCGTAATCCAAAAAGATTGAGCATTGTGCAAAAGTCCTGCAAATCGTCCATTCGGCAACTTTCTCTACACCTTCCTGTCCAAATGCAAAGGTTGCGCTGCATAGTGCCAAAATTGCCACTTGGCAAAATTTTTATTCGAGTGGTGATAAAAATATAATACTGGTGATGACAAGTGGCAATAACAATCCTAATCCACTTGTTTCAACATTCAGTGGGAAATTGAATCACATATCACACTGGGAAAAGCTGTAAAATGTTGAACTTGAGTAATTTTGAATAACATATTTGATCATGTGTTGCTCAACTTCTTGGCAACATTTAAAACTGTGTGTGTGGTGCCATCTGTTATGATACTTTTAACTATTATAAAGTGGCAAAAAGCTTAATTGATGGGATGGGATGGGTTTTATAAAAAAAATTGTAAATGCTGATAATGAGTAAAATTGTCATTAAGTCCGACCCTACTGGAGATACACACAACCCCCATTATCTCCCCACCCCCTCAATCTTTAATCACCAAAATTTAATAGCATTGATCCTCTAGTACACAAACCTCCCTGCAAAATTTCAGAAATTTTTGACAAAAAGTATAAGAATTATTAAGTTTCAGGGTGCACGTGTAGCACAATTTTGTGCTGCAAGATTGAGGGGGTGGGGAGATAATGGGGGTTGTGTGTATCTCCAGTAGGGTCGGACTTAATGACAATTTTACTCATTATCAGCATTTACAATTTTTTTTATAAAACCCATCCCATCCCATCAATTAAGCTTTTTGCCGCTTTATAATAGTTAAAAGTATCATAACAGATGGCACCACACACACAGTTTTAAATGTTGCCAAGAAGTTGAGCAACACATGATCAAATGTTATTCAAAATTACTCAAGTTCAACATTTTATAGCTTACATTAACATCCATACATACAGAAATTACCCCTGGATTTGTTTGCATTTCTCAACGTTTCAAGGTGTCCTGAACCCAAAAATTAAAAATTCTTGGAGTGTCATTTTTTGGTAACAGGTCAAAAAATGACACCCCAATATAACAGTCAGGAAAGTAAAAATTATTCAAAAATGATTGCTATTACTGGAAGTTTCACATTTCAGATCGGTGATAGCCAAGTGAATAAGACTCTAGATCAATGGTATTCAAACATTTTAATAGTGCGACCCCAAGGTAATTTTCCATGACCCATAGATTGAATAGCACAGCCCTAGATACATGACCTAGACCAGGTGTGGCCAAACTTTTATCCCTTAGGGGCTACTTTTTTGGTAAAATATAGTCTGCGGCAAATAATTTTAGGATTTTTATGTGCGCATGTGTTAACATTCATTTGCATTGTTCATCGGGATAAATACAAACAGTATGGGTATGTTGCACAGACAGTCTATTATTGTAAGAATAAATTATCAAATCAAGATTTTTAAACATTAATTTAAGTGAAAGCAAATTGTTCAATTTTAGCTTTGCGGTCGACCACGGTCTACATGTTGGCCATCCCTGACCTAGACAATGTAGGTTTGAACCTTCAGAGTTTTAGTTTATGTATAACTTTCTAATTTTACCACATCATTAGCATTATTATTACTATTATTATTCCTCGTGTTTAAAGCATATAAAACGAGATTAAAAATTGCGATATCGTTTCCTGTTTAGCGAAAACAGGCTTCTATAGATTTAACTCTTTATTAACATTGTTAAAGAGTTGTCAAATATTTTATTTACTATGTCCTCACAAGCAAATAAGCTTCAGATGTTACTGTACAATACCACCATATCTGAAAATAAATGTGAAGAAAATTTTATTTAACAGCATAGAGTTAAATCTAGAGGGGCTTGTTTTCTGTAAACAGGAAATGACATCACAATTTTTAATCTCTTGTTTTATAAGATTTAAAAGTGAGGAATAATGATGCGGTAAAATAATAAAATAATGTTACAAATTAACACAAAAAAAAAATAATATAAAATTCCTAAGGATCCCACCTACATTGACTAGTTCTAGTTAGTGCCTTGCATCTTATTCTCTTTGTTATCAAAACTTCCAAATTCTTATAAGCTAATACTAAATTTTCAGAGTCCACTTTTTTGGAAATGTTTAAAAACTGGATCTTGTTATTTGGAGAAAGAGCTGTTTGTGCTTAAGGCCACCTGCTCACCAAGTTTCATTCAAATTGTTAAGTAAAACTGGTGGCGATAAAAAATTTGAAGCAGCAAAAGATAATTTTTTTTAACTGGCAAAATTGTGGCAATATTTTAAAATATTTCCAGAGCAACCCATGTGCACACACTCATGCCTCTTCTAGCATACTACTTCACATATTTTTTTCTGACTCAACACCTTATGTTATTTCAAATACTCATTTGTTTATTTCAAAACTTTCTCAGCCTTCCACTATTGTGCTTACCATCCATCTTTCCTGTGTATATTCTCTTCAACAGTTCTCCTATTATTCTCTCAATGTGGCCAAAACCATCATAGAGCCAATTTACTAAATTTTTGAATCACACTCTCTTTCATTCCATATTCCTTCAGCACTTGTTTATTTCTCACAAAGTCTTTCCTTATTATGCCACACATTACTCTCAAATTCCTCATCTCAAATGCAGTAATGCGACTCCCGTGACTCTTCTGCCTTACTCAAGTTCCACCACTATACATGAGCATAGGCTCTACGGCACTCACATAACAGCCATTCATGCTTGTTTGTATATTTTTTTCCTTGCAAATTTACTTTTTGCACTCACCACATGCACTTTGGCATTCTCTCTTCTGATGGGTTACCATCTGCATTACCATTCCTATCTGTCATGCTTCCCAAATATACTGTACTCATTCACTTGTTCCAGTTGTTCACCACCCAGCTCAATCATGCAATTCATTTGTTTATCTTTGCATTTAAACACAATCACTTTAGTTATATTCACATTCACTCACATCATATATTTCTCACATGTCTGAAGTGCTACCTAGCTCTCTGCTAATAGCAGAGTGTCATCTGCGTACAACAAATGACAGGCTGGTTCATTTCGAATTTTCATTCTACTTGGGTACTCTGGATTCCCTTATGCAGGGGTGCACAACCTGCGGCCCGTGGGCCACATACGGCCCCCTATCAATGTTTATGCGGCCCGCGGACGGTACCGGCCAAATCCCTTCTTTCGAAGTTTCTAAGTGTAGAACTTTTTCCCTTTCACAAAGTCATTAGCACCCAACTGTTTTATGACTTTCCCTGAGGTGAGAAATGGGGGATTGTTCTATAAATAAGTCTATTTTTAGCTAACACTTTCTGCTTTAGATATCGAATATTTTAAAATGATGTTAGAACGTCATTTCCGATGTTATCGGGAAGTTTCTATTTTGGCGGGAAATCTTCAATTTTATGCTTCGGAAAACTTGCCTATTCGTCTAAATAGCGTCAAATAACAAAAATAAGTGAAAATAGCGCTGAAAAACCATGAAAATAACGATTTTTTAGCATTTGTTTACATTCTAGATTCTGATTGGTATAGTCGAATTTGAATCAATCTTTTCTGAAAAGACGCTTATTCGTCAACCTAATGTCATTCAAACTAGAAAAAACTAACCAGAGTTCAAAAAGAAATGTACAAAAAGCTATAACAACCAATAATTTACAACAATATCTCTCCATAGACTAAGAATAGAAAAAAATTTTTTCGCATCAAATTTATTATTATTAAGTTGGACCAAGAAAATTAATACTGTAGTTGGAATAGAGTCATTACGACTAAAAGGAAGCCATTTGCATTAAAATATTTTGGATTTAATAATTATTACAAACCGCGTCAAGCCATAAACTTGTCAACAAAGAGGGTTGTAAAATGATTCCGTGTAGCTAGAAAGCTGCGGTTTTTTTTGTTTGAAAGAAAACAGATATATTTAGGTTATTTAAGTAGTAAATTAATTGGAACTTTTTATTTACTTTTATTTTTACATTCTTTTTTTCGTAAATTTAAAATTAAATTATTATTTTTAATTTTTATTTTATTTGAAATTTAACAGTCGTAAACTGTGATATATTTAGGACAGAAAAAAAAAAAAAATTGATTCTAGCGCCAATTTGAAACGAGATATCGCAATTTTAATAATTATATTTAAAATATTCAGATTTTCCACTGCACTGTGTTAATCACTTTTGATTCATTTCTGAACACGGGGGTAAAACTGACGGGCCATAAATATAATTTAGGTAAGAATGGTAACCACATTTATGATGGATTAGTGTCCTGCACCTGGCATGTTGACGATCTGACTCACAAATTCTGAGAAATGGTGGAGACGCCCGGACAGGGGTCGAACGAATTAAGACC